CCCGTGCCTTTGAACATAAAATTATATTATTTAAGTACATAACGCTAAAACAACATTGCAATTTAATAACAAATAGTACTAAAATTCCAAAAGACAACTATGTTTACTATTCATTATACCCATATCATCGCTAGCAGGACTGGCTGGCCTTTCAGCTCCCCTTACTTCTCTAGTAATTTCCTCATCTTGATTATTTAATCTTAAGCCTGCAACTCCCTTTTTTGGAACATTATACAAATCACGTTTAATCTTCCTTCGCCTAGAAGGATCGTTTCTACGTAACTGAAGCATCGATCCAAAATCGGCGATATAAAGAAATCCTGCTATGAGCAGTTCACAATTCCGTTTGCCTTGTTTGTATGCAGTTTCTAATTCATGGCTTGTACGTTGATCATATTGCCACCAACCTGGAACAACATAATTAAGAATAAAATTAATTATATAAGTTGTTCACATGGTCTTCTGTCAGTGAAAGTCATGTTGATGGATGCTAATTATTTCAGTTAGGGTCTTAGTAAAGAAAAGTAACATATTCTGAAATAGTGATTTTATTACGAACTATACATCGAGACTAAACTGCAATTATTTTATAATAAAGTATATCTATAACAAAAACATAGAAACATCCTTGCACTTTTCATACCATACAATATGTATATATATTTGTGTGTAATTCTACAGTGGAATTTATAATGTATGATTTTGTATAATATTATACATTCACGTGTCATAAATGATTACGTGAAATATAAATATATTTAGAAATATTTCATGCCAATTACATGTGGAAAAGAGGAAGCATTTTCATTTTAATCCTGACACACCTTTGCAAGGTGCATCCTTTCTATCGCGTTTAATTTTACGTTTACAATATGGTTGAAGTTTTCTGTATTGACAATTATTTTTAAAGTCAATTACATATAACATTCCGCAAATTAAAATTTCACATTCTGCGCTACCTAGGTTGTAAATAGCTTCCAAATCCTTGCTGGTCCTTGAATCATATTTCCACCAACCTATGAAGGGGTAGCAGATAAACTTTTCTATAACTCCGTAATATGTTTTTAACGAATAATGAAGTTATTCATTTTTCATCCATTCATATTGTTAGCTAAGATTAATATTTATTACGATTTTACATAAACTGCTTTATTCTTTAATAATCGATATCCTTTATTTTCTAATGGATTATTTATAAGTTGAATATGTATTTATAACCATATGTATGTTCAGGAAAATATTATTAAAAATATAAGCAATATTTAAAAAGCGAAATGAATTAAACAAAAATAGCCTACCATTTCTGCCTTCGTAAAACCACTGATATTCTTCTTCAAAATGTTCTGACTCCTTTTGTGCTTCATCTACTTCTACCAATTGTGGTCTGTTAAGAAAATCAGGAGGTATTTCCTGACGACACATAGGGCATCTTTTGCTTTGATTTGCAACACCTTTGACACATAAGTAACAATATATGTGATTGCATGGCAGTCTTGCGGGATATATGCATGGTTGGAGACAAACTGCACATTCTAATATTGTCGTTGAACCTGGTAACATTTTTTACAAGTAAAAATCATTAGCTTTTAATATTATGACAAAACAAATGTATACGTCAGAAAATAAAATAAAAATTTAGCTACAGAATACAATTAATTTAATATTATTTACATTGGCTACATTGCGCAAATAAATTTTTTTTTTGTTGTGTTGAGATTGTTATAATATTAAAAATAATTTGCTTGTATGAGCCGTCAATAACAAATTATATACAATAACAAAAGTGACAACGGTCTTAATATTTTTGAAATAGTTTCGAGAAGTCTTACTTTCCTTCTCATCGGCCTCTTTTTCCTTATCGTTACGCGTACTACTTATTTCTTCTTGCGAGTTCAGTTTCGCTTGAGCCATAATCGCAGAACACGTTTATTTCTTCATTAAGTAACATGAAAGATGTTGTATATGACTATGCTCGCACGCGTCATGTGGTACAGAAGGTACAGAATCGTAAAGTATTAACCATACGCCACCTTCATTGTTTATGACATACTGTTCTCTCTAAAATTCAAGGATCTGTCAAGGATAACTGAATCTTTGAGATGAGAATCCTTCAATTTGTCGCTTACTTCCAGTGATGTAAGATTTGCGGAATTTCGATCGCCGCGCGTACGGTGAGGAAAAGTGGAACTAAAAGTCTTGATGTAAGCACAGCCTTCTTTAATACCTAGCCATGCTAAGAGTAAAATGGCAACACCGAAGGAGTCCGGCCTCCTGTACCTAACTCAACCTGCCCCATCGGACTCCACACATGCTCCCAACTTCCCTCTATCGGACTCTCGGTTTCCCGCCTGTTCTTTAAATGTGTCTTCTCCATAAAATAAACTCACACGAGGCTTGACTCGTAAAATGTAGGAAGCAATAAGAAAATTTGTCAGGAATAAGGCAGGTAAGGTAAGATTTATTTGTTTCTTTTAATTTATAATTACGCCGGAGATCTTTTTTTGTAAGCTGCACAGTTGTTTATTGATACNGAGCCGTTCCCCTCGACTATGCACCGTCCTTTAAGTCCATGACCCAGCCAACCATCTGGTGGCAGAATGGGGCCAGGCTTGTAGGCAGCACTGTCGCTGCACAGCCAAACAGTTGGCAACAACCTCTCCTTAATATAGGGAAGAAGGAGTAGGGATGAGGAAGCGGAAGATCACTCCGTTAGAGACTCCGCTTTGAGAGAGCAGCTCCTACGACATCACCACGTGCACTTCGCATAGTACAGGATTGTATGAGCGATATTGTTAAGTTAAATATATATATCCTTGTTCCAAAATTCGTCAAGTGTGCCTCATTTATAATACGGG